ATATCACAGTTGTAGTTAGTACTAAATATGAATAAGTATACTATTTACAGTTTAACTTTCTTTTTGTATATGCTACTTTGTAACTCCAAAGAAAATATTTTGTTCTATATTTTTCTTTGTAAATAAATATTTCCTGAACTTTTTTCTTTAATGCAAAATAAAGCATTTGCTCTGATTATATACTACATTATTTAACAGTCATTCAAATACTGCAAACTCTATTAACCATGTACAGGGAAGAGGAGTAACAATGTACCCCATCTAAGTGATGCCCTTACATCAAGGCAACAATAACCATCTTTGGTAAAATATGATTACTGGATACTTCTTTTAAATCGCGCAAGGCTGAAAAAAATATTGTTTATTTGAAGCTTTATCCAGAATGTCTCAAGATACTTACATGTATGGTTTCTTGCATCTATTTGAAGTGACTGACCAAAACGTAGGAAAAGGCTTTAAATGCTTTTCCATTTTCTTCAGCTCAGGACAACTCAAGGACACAATAACATGTTGTGGCAAAACCTCGAATTCATAATTTTCCGACTGAGTCCAAAGTACTAAACTGTTCACAAATATCTCTAACATTTTGTATTACTGAATCCAAGGTTAGGTCACTTCAGTGGGCTTCTTACGGCCTCAATTTGCATGCTACTTTTGTTACTCTTGGTCACTGTGACAATTTGAGTATCTTACATTCAAAGTTGTTTAACAATGTTGTATGCTTAGCATACTAGATGTTTCTTTTCATTTTACTTTAAGTATTTGTTGTTCACCATTCACCTGAAATTTTCAAAATTAACATTATGTACGTTCATATAAGTTTGACAATGACACATATGTTCTGGAATGTGGATAACTTTACGTTAGTTACGTATTGTTATAAGTCACTCCTTACTGGTATTTATATACTACTAAAACTCTGAGATTGTTTGTTTGTTTGTGTGCTTGTCTGTAATTAAATACAGCAAAAACGGCGCAAAATATGAAATAGAAATATTAATAAGATATGAGAAATGAGAATAGAAACAGAATGAAACAAGTTTCGTTAAAATTGGGCCATGGGTTACCGAGTAAGCGCCGTTTTTCGGGTCACTCTTATGAAGATTTCTAGCATGGGTAATTTTACATCAAAAATGGCCTGGTATGGCCAGGTGGTTAGGGCATTCGAGTCGCAATCTGTAGGTCGCGGTTCGAATCCCCGTCACACCAACATGCTCGCCCTTTCAGCCGTGGGGGCGTTATAATATGACGGTCAATCCCACTATTCGTTGGT